CTTTCTCCCCTCCTTCGCAGCTTCTCCTCTCTGACGCGCCTCGAGCTCTCTCAATGCTTGTTCTCGACAATACAGGAATTCTTCGCCGTCATATGCGCCCGGCCGAATCTTCGCCGCCTCGTTTTGACTAATATTATGATCCAGGATGAAGACGAGACGATAACATCACTGCCTGTACTGCAACTGCCCCGGCGGCTCAGTCACATTACCTTGCAGACAGCGCATCAGAGCGACATCTTGGAGTGGATCCTTGGACAGCCGTTCATCCCTGCGCTCACATCGCTCTCTTTAGGAGGCATTGGACAATCGATGGCTGACCAGGAAATCACAGGACGCTTCCTCATGTCTCTCGGTGCTCACCTAAAGCACTTGAAAATATACCTCAACAGCTGGTCTCCTGCAGGTGAGAACGATGCAGTCAAATGATGCACAGCTGATGACAGTCGGGTACAGTCACCTTATCCCATAACACCTGTTTACAAACCTTCTCCGTGAGTCGGTATCGTTTGAATGGAAATAGCACCAGCGATACCGCGGGATTTCCGGGACTGTTGACTATGCTTGACCAGATATCGTCGCGCCAATTGACCCAAATCACATTGCGCTTCGTCAATAATCCAGAGGATCTGGACGTCGTTCCATGGCATCACTTGGAAAGACTGTTCCAACGCCCTCAGTTTACAGATTTGAAAAGCCTGCGCATCCGTTGCGTGGGCAGGACGCAAGACATGAGGAGGCTGGTGCAGCACATGTTTCCCAGACTATCACACATGGGCATCGTCCAGTTTCGCTGCGATTCAGATTCGGACAACGAAGAAGAATAGGATGGTATTACATTTAGTCTAGAGGGGGGATATGTATCGAATAAATATGCACGGCAATTATGAGTGAGTATGTATGCCCTCGACAACACCTTCACAGCGTTTACAAAGGGTATCTTCTTCGGAACGAGTGTACGTCCAGCAACGCGGACATTTTTGTTGTGTAGCAGGTTCGACACGGATCGTCAATGTATGGCATTCTAGTTTCAATGTGAGCAATTTGACACGGATCACGGTCAGCATTCACTCACCTGCCAGAGGAAGAGAAGCATCGTGAGACCATTCTGGTTGAGATGAAGGAGATAATTCCATTTCCTGATCAAGCGTGACGCGAGACACAATGAACAGTGTTTGCAAAATATTGGCTGTTCGAATCTGGCTTGAGCTCCCATTGTAACAACGTTGATTATTCATACCTTCACGGCGCAGCACAGTCAATGCAGAATTGGACACAATTCCGTCAGGAACAATAATCCGAATATCGGCTTCTAATGAACTCTTGACCTGCCTGTCCAAGGGTTCAGATGAGGCATGTATATCGTTTTGAAAAGACTTACTTCTCGCGTCGCGCTTTTTCCAGTAGAGACAATGCCGTTGTTCTGATTCTCAGCAATTCATTCATGTCTTCAGCGGCTCGTTCGTCCTTCCACTCTGTGCTCTGTATTATGGCGACGATTAAAAAAAACCAAAAGTCGGACACAAGGGCATTTCTCACCAGAGGTATCCAGGGTGTCATGAAAACAGACTTTCCGTCTCCTTTCCTTATCGCATGAATTTCCTCGGCTAGGTAAGGTAAAATGGGAGACATAATCTTGGTAAGTGTATCTAGAATCTTTAGACCGAGGAGTGTCAGAATGAAATAGAGAATGAAATAAAAGTAAATGACCTGTTCGAGCACGGTAACGACGGCCCTCCTTTCTCTGCTGTCAACACTATCGGCGTAGAGACAATCCTTCGTAATGTCGAAATAGAAGGATGATACGGTATTGTTAACGAAGTTATTAAGTGCATGAACCACTGCAAACGCAAATCATGTAAGACGGAATAATTTCTGAACATAGCAGATGCTCACCTCTTGGGAAATTGTAAGAACGGTAGGCTTCCAGCGCTGTTTGCTCGAGAGTATAAAGCTCATGCACCACATATTTTTCGGCCTGATTCAGATCGACCTCGAAGTCAGCAGGTTCCTTGTGCAAACAATTAAATTAATGACGCACCAAACCCATCTCATTTCTTGGGACTCTTTGCATTTTCGCCAGGTCTTCGTTAGACCCCATATTCCCCAGACAAAATCGTGCAGTGTTCCTAAACTTGCGTAGTGCCTCCGCAGATTGAGCAATGACAATAGGTCCGATTGACATATCTTTCCAAAAATCGACGCTCGCGGCCCATAGGCGGAGGAAATCGGGCCCATAGGGAGGTTGCCTTTTATCCTATAGACCAACATCAATGCATGCACGAAAAAATATCAAAGAGGAACGTACAGAGGAACCATGCACGATGTTCATTGGGCTGATAATATTACCTAAAGACTTGCTCATTTTCTTCCCTTTCTCATCCAACACCATCCCATGCGTAAACAGATTTGCATACGGACTAACAGGCGCCTCGTCGGCTCCACGCGACCCAATCGCCGTTAACAACTGGCTCTGGAACCACCCTCGGTGCTGGTCCGATCCTTCCAGACAGAGATCTGCATCATGCTTGCGTCCCGTCTCTCCAGGTACGCCTACGCGGTCGCGGCCGACGCCCGTTTCAGGCAGCATCGACCACGACGAGCCGCTGTCGAACCACACATCCATTGTATCTCTGCCTTTCTCCCACGTCTCGTCCGCGGTCTTGCCGTCCTCAAGCAGCCAGGGCGGGACGAATTCCGAGATGGGAGCGTCCCACCAGTCAAGGTTCTTGGTCTCCATAGCATTGAGGATGTAGTCGAGAGTGGGCGAATCGAGGACGACACGGCCGGTGGCGATGTGCTGCAGGGCGGGAATTGGGACGCCCCAGACGCGTTGGCGGGAGATGCACCATTCGGAGCGGGATCGGACGAAGGCCTCGAGACGATTGCGTGCTATGGATTGTCAAAAATCAAACCAGTGCGTGACATGACTGACGACTAACAAGATTCAGGGAAGAACGATACGTCTTTGAGTGTCGTCAAAGCATCTTCCTTGATAAAATCAAGATTTGCAAACCATTGTGAAGTCGCCCTTCAGACGCGTCAAAAATGCTACTAGACGAGATGGAAAAGCAAAAGGAAACTCACGTCACAATGATAGGCTCCTTGGTCCTCCAATCATAAGGATATCGGTGCTTGATTCTCTGAATTTTGACAAGACACCCGATCTCCTTTAACAACGCTACCATTTCCTTATTTCCATCCCCGAGTACTTCTTTTCCAGCCAAGCGATCCGCGAACTCCGCGCCCACGATGTCGGCAATATCGGCAACGAATTGGCCCTTTGCATCTACATGGCAAATAAGACCAGTTGTAGTATTGAGGTCGCGCAGAGCATCGTAATCTTCAGCTCCATGTGCGGGAGCACAATGAACGAGACCAGTACCGGACTGCGATGTTACATGCGCCGCAGCAACAATGGGTAAGGATCGGGCACTTGCCGCGAAAATTGGTTTGTAAGTGGCGCCCACGAGATTTTTTCCTGAAAGCTTTGTAGGTAATGATAATGTGTATAACTGAATGGCGAAACGTACCTTCAACTTTGACAAGAATTTCTATCGGCCCCAAAATGTCTTTTAGTGCTTCCAGTCGTTCCTCGGCCACAATCATGAGGCTTCCATCTTTGGCATTATCGCGCTTTATGACTGCATAGATAAGTTCTTCATGAACAGCGATAGCCTACAGACTCGCTAAGTATTAATGACCTAAATGACTGAACCCCACGCACCATGTTAGCTGATAATGTCCATGGAGTAGTCGTCCATACAAGTAACTGTACATTCGGCGTGTTCGAAATAAGAACTTGAAGGTCATTGTCCGGGAAGGCTGATTGCGCATCAAGGTCAAAAGTGACATAAACCGAATGCGAGACATGATTATCGCTGTATTCTAATTCCGCTTCCGCGAGAGCTGTCCGAGATGATGGGGAATAGTGAACCGGGCGATGTTGCCTGTAGATCTGGCCTTTCTCGACCATCTTCTGGAATATGCGTAGCTGCCGCATCTCGTAATGACGGTCTGTGAAACCTTAGATTAGGGATGCTACAGCATGGGCCAGTAGAATAAAAGGACGTACCCAAAGTTCGATATGTATTTTCTTCCGAGTTCCAGTCAGCCATGACACCCAAAGTTTTGAATTGTTCTCTTTGAGAGTTGATTTCCCGCAGTGCTGTCGCCCTTGCACCATCCCGAATGACTGATGCTGGTGTGTCTATAGCTTTCCTCTGTACAGAGTCAATCACATCTGAAAGGACAGTGACAATAAGAGTACGCACATCCATTTCTTTCAAGGCCTTATTCTCAATCGGAAGCCCATGGCAATCCCATCCTGGAACATAGCTACGCGTTAATTCAGTGCGAATTCTCGCAAGAGCAAGGCACTGCCGCGTACTGGATTTTGCGTCCTTGCGTCAGGTGGAAGCGGTTGATGATGTCCTTGATGACCTTATTCAATGCATGGCCTGTAGTATCGTTAAAGATATCTAAGACTCCTAGTGTAAATCACTTTACCCATATGTAGGTCACCATTTGCATAAGGTGGTCCATCATGCAGAACCCATACAGGTCCATCCACATTCTCCCGCTACACAAAATATAAGCACATACGCCACAACACAAAATATAACTCATACCTGCCATCGATAGAGCGTCTCCCGTGTCAATTCTCCATATGCGGCTTCATTCTCACTGAAATTCGGTCTCAACGGGAACGCAGTTTTCGGAAGGAGCAAGGTATCAGCGAACGCCTTGTTGTCGAGGTCCTCGCTGGATTTTTTCGCCTTTCCGGATAGATAACGCGAAAATGCTTGCCTCCGGAATAACCATGTATTCCAGGAGCATGCAAGGCGCGTTGTCATTTCCTGGGCCCACAATGACTTGAGCCAGGGATGAGTCGAAGTTCTAGAGAAGAGAGTGTCACCGACATGCAAATAGTTTGGGGCCCCGCTGATCCGGGGGTATGCATGTTTCCCGAAGTGTCGATGAACCAAAAAAAAAAGGCAAAATGGACACTAAGGGGCTTGAACCCTTGACCTCGTGCAGTCATACAATCGTATGCAAAGCAAGCGCGCTACCACTGTGCTAAGTGCCCATATAAATGGTAATGCTTAGTAATTAGTACACCCATTGCATAACTTCTACTACTTATAAACCTTTCATTTCTTTCCATTGCCGGTCTCGGAATTGCTTTGAATTTCCACTACTTAGGATGTTCCACCTTTCATCCATAGGATGTCTCCAACCGAATCGTCCATTCTTCATTCCTTGGTGCCTAGCTGACCGTTGAACCCCCAGGATAATTCAAGTCAATAACATGAATCCGCCCGAGTTGGTGGCCAACTTGGTGAGCATGCTTCCTTCGAGATTCGCAGTATTCTCCATATAAGGTGAGTAAATATCTCAATCAACAACTGTTATGCATTACAATATTACAATAATGATGTCGTCTCAGAGTCGTACGTGAATCCAAATATCATTTCCCAAACAAGGAGTCGGTTTTCAAGCCAATGCAGACGTTCTCATCGATATATTGCTCAGATCCTCACGACATGCTCAGTTCGACATTAGGAATATAGAGCAACATACCAGAACAAGTTAAGCTTGTTTTCCTTCCGACATCTGGGAAAGGTATCGAGAGCTTCTGAATGACGTCCGTCATTTACATATACCACGCCTCGCCGATGGCAGTCATCCTCCTCAAGCTTCAAAGCTTCAAGCATGGTAGGAAGTTGATACGGCCTGCTACACAAGCTATCGCGTACAAGTTGTGAAAAGCTTAGCTTCCCAGTCTACGTGCATTTCTAATCCAGGGGAACACGGCCGCCCACTGATTTCGTATAACCGAAGTCGGAAGACCCAATTGGAGAAAAACATTGCAGATGCGACCCTTCCATTTATCTCCTCCCACCGTCGATTCCGTAACCTGTCTGTCCGCGAAAGAGATGTAGCACACTCATCTCTATCTCCCGCGACTCCGCCTACCCAAACGTCGTTTCAAGGTATACTTCCCCCACGCTTATTACATCCCCATCCTTCTCTTCGCTTCTGGCGCCGGCGATGTTTGTAAATAACACCTCGGCTTGGCGCGTCTTTTTTTTTTTTGAAGTGTCGATTTCATGCCTTCTGGAGGCTCTCCGTCATTCACATGTCGCCCATGCAAGAAAGGAAACGCGGTCGGTCAGCACACAATTGTGGCCTTCAATTTTGGTCCAGGCATTCTGGCATCTCGGAATCTCGCGCTGTATACATGATCACAAATTATCCATTCAAGCTGGGTATATCATGCCGAGCGGATGAATGTACCGTTCTAGGAAGCTTGCGATCCCCGAAAGTGCATGAGCAGCCACCAACACATGCCAACTTAAAAGAATATTGGGCAATACAACCTTGTCAGGTCAGATCGTTGGTCGAGCATCTTTCCTCTTTCGAATGAGCTTCCTGATTGGGCTGCTAGAATCGCTGGCCTGAGATTTGCCGACCTGTATAATAAGGCATCGTATATCTGACATATCATTCCCCCAAGTCACCCCTCCCAGCAATGGCGTCCGGTCAAGATGAGTTCCAGCAGGCGCTTCTTGCTCTATCGCTACCTTTGTACGTATTTATTTATGGCGCATCTGTTTGCTATGCTAATGATGTATTTCAGACTTTCATCCCTGGTATTTTGTTTTATGTTAACTCATAGGATGAAGTTCTCACTGTTTCGACTAAGCAAATTAGCGCGCTCATTACATGGGGGCTACAAGGGGTGATATTCGTGCAAGCCTGTAGGTCTTGCATGTTTCCGCTAGCTTGTCATACGCTGATATATATTACCTAGATAATTACTACCTAAGTTTCCCGAAGGACCCTTGGCACATGAAAGTGCTGGTCTACCTCTCTACGGCGTTAGAGATCCTGCAGACTCTTTTGGTGACTCGAGATACCTACCAGGTATTCGCCAAAGGGTTTGGAAACATTGCCGATTTGGACGACCTGCACTTCCTCTGGTTCACTTTGCCCATTCTTGGTGGCATCGGTAAGCATTACTTCGTCTTTGTTATAACCAATCTCCGTTGCTGATGGACAAAATCAACAGTTGGCTTCCTGTGCCATCTAACATTCGCCTACCGCATCTCCCTACTATCAGAGTCCAAAATCACAGGAGGAATCATCTCAAGTGTGCGTGATGATCGATTCTGTCAATGTGGCGTTAACCTTTGCTCATCATATACGATCGTGTTCCGTCGCGGTCTATTACTATAGATTGCTGTATGTGCCTGTGTGTCGGCCTTAGTCTTTGGAGGAAAGCTATTTGGAGCAGGCCTCCTCTCGAAGACTGTGACGACCAGTCATATATATCTTACTTGTGGGGTGAATGTCAATGATCGCCAGCTTTGCAAACTGCAGTGCTGATTTTGTTGTCTTTAGATATGGAACGGGGCTGGGGCCATCTGCGACATGGCTATTGCTGGCTACATGACATACTATGTAAGTATCATCTCCAGCTCCTTGCGAGTCCGACCGGAACTGAGATACCTAGCTTTCACGAAATAACACCGGGTTCCGCAACACCGACGTCCTCATCGCTCGAATCATTCGCCTCACCATCGAAACTGGAGTAGTCACTGGTAAATAATCTCGTCTCTAAATTCAACAGGAGCCCGACTTCATTCCAATCCTCCCTTCCAGCCACAGCCTCCATCGCTAGCGCCGTGCTCTTCGTCGGCTTCCGCCAGAGAATAACCGTCAGCGTATACTTCATCGTGCCGGCCATCATGATAACCAAGCTGTACGCCATAACCATCCTGGCAACATTCAACAATCGCCCCCACGCTGTCGGCGGGCCCCCACCACTGACAGACATCGAGACCTGCTTCGATGACAACAAGCACTATTCCACGCGCAACCTCGAGAGCACGGGGAAGGAAATCCGGATCGGGCGCACCGTAGTGCAGCAGGTGTGGAAGGACGACGTGCCCATGTCGCATCTCAATGTAAGCAAGCAAGCTGTCATCGTCGACTTTTTTCTGACTGTCTCTACCTGCAGATGTTTGAAGATGATGGCGGTCAATCGATCAGGGACGACGACACGGACTCCGCGCGAAAGGTCCAGGAAAATCTGACGCAAGAAATAGACACACCGATGAAATTCTAGACATCATGCATTATGTACTACGCCAAAAACACACGGCTCACCGCGATACACTGGTTGTATTATACAGGACGCTGACACTGAACCATTCCTATTTCTGTACACTTTCGATCATAAAGAACTATACAGATAGTTGTACAATAACATTTGTATCAACAGTTTAAATAAATAAATCCATTGGGACGATGAATCATTAGCTTTGTAGTTCCTTCAGCACGTTCGCCAATCGCTCTTTTCGCAGAGGTATCCATAACAGCTCCCCACTTCCTGTCGTCGCCGGTGCAGACACGATAAGATTATGATCCCGAAATTCCCCCAACAACGACCGCATCGCTGGCTCAGAGTGTGCATAGAAGTTCTCGCGCGCTATGGTGAACAGAATATCGTATGTCGTTCCAAATTGCTGCAAGTCCGTTGATGCGCCGTCGTCCGCGTTCTTGATGTTCTCCAACTGAAGGGTGCCGAGAGTTATGAACAGTTTTTGAGCTTTCTGCGTCACAGAAGCGAGAATATGTGAGGCGGCTGTTTCGCTCATAGCGGTAGCATTCTGAGCTGCGAGGGCATCGGCTTTACGACGTGCCCCGCCAGTGTGAGCGCCCGAGAGAGATGCGCGGTCGGCGAATGCGAGTTCGACATCATATGGACGAAGAGTTGTTAGATCGTGCCACAGCCACGCAAATCCTCGAGAAGGTGTGGCATCAGCTTGAACCCCATCAGGTTTCCGAGAAAATATCTCAGACGACGACCATAGTAGCGGTGCGTTGATATGGTCGATGGATGCGATGACATGAATTCGGGGATTGTGCGCCAAAAGGGATAATATTGATTTTGACTTTGGTGCGCGGAAGGGGGCAGCGTCGGCGTTGTGAACGATAATGTAAAGATGAACTTTTTGCTTGGGATTGGCAAAAAAGTCGTATATTCTGCGTGCTTGCTTTTCGGTATTAGCAGAAGGTAATTCTAAGTCTTGCATGTCGGGGATATCTTCTATTGAGTTAAGCATATCTTTAAGAGTAAACTCTGGCTGAAATCCGTTGACGACCACGACATGACCCCGTTTAGAGCAGTGGCTTGTCGCGAATTGGTTTAGGGTACGTCGTTTAGAACCAAGCCCATAGCATAGTATATTGAAGCCTTCGTTCAGTTCGGAGATGAAACGCGAAAAGACAATTTCCAGGTTCGCTTCCGAAAGTATACTCGGTTGAATGAGGGGCGCTGCTTTCGTTATGGGGCCTATGGCATCTGCATATTCTTCTGGGCTCAAAGGTAGCACAAGCTGAGAATACACGTTGTTTGAAGTTTGGACTCGCCCGGGTTTATTGTACGTGAAATACGCGTCAAAAGCTGTCTGGACTATGATTTTACTCTGCTCGACCATATCCTTTGCCTTCCCCTTGCCCTTCTGCGGTGATCCTGGCGTATGGATGGGCACATCTTCGGATTGATCAGACTCGTCTGAGAGCTCGGCATCATCGTCTTCTTCCTCGCTCAGCACTTCGGGCTCTGGCTCAAATGAGGGTAGATGTCGGAGCATTTGGATGGAGGTTAAGAAATCGGATAGATCAAGATGTGAGGAATTTAGAACTGCTGAAGGCTGAAGAGCGCGAATCGGACAATCGCCCTTGAGACCGTATTTGGTCGTGTTTTCCAAACGCTCAAGCGTTTCTCCACCGCATTTCAATTCAACGAGTCTTGTTTTCATTCAGTTTTCATCCAAACATGTCTCGCCTTTTGACCGGCTCCTTCAACTTTTAGAACGTGCTCTATGGATGGACAAATGTTGTTTCTTCTTCAAATACCCGAGGATACAGAAAAAAGACAGTTCTTAGACGGTTAATCTTCGCAATGGCTGTGGGCAAGCTGTAAGTTTCCTGCAAGCCATCAAGCATTTAAAGTCCCTACTGGGTTGATGCTCGAACCGTCTGAATCTTTTATAGCTGACATCCGCCTATTTTTGA